GTCGGCCTATAAAATGCTGCGGGGGCCACATAAAATGACGTGGCCCGCGGGCCTTGAGTTTGACACATGTGGATTAATAGATGGTCAGTGCAGATGTCGAACAAACAGGAAACCCTTACAGAGGAGAAATAAAATGGATATTATGCAACAACACATCTGGTGAAATTCTGCATTGAAAAATAACCCAGAGAGTTCAAGACTGGCTCAGAAAATCCAACAGATTGCCTTTGTTTTCCCTTTTTTATTGTCATGGTGACTCAGCTGAAAGACAGTGCCAGTTCAGTTTCATTAGTTATGAAACTGATGTGATGCATTTAATTCTCAGATCATTAACTTTTTTTAACCATTTTTCCACAGCTTTCAGCCTGAAGTGAGTTTTAGGGGACATTGTTGTTGCCTCTGACTTTTCAAAGCAACCTAAAGGCATGTGATCTATTTCTATACTGTAATAACATTCAACAAACTAGAAAATGAATATTTTCCCCGAATTTTCTATAGTGGATAGGGACAAAAACTTTCATTTTTAATCTTTTTTTTTTCTCCCTGTTGTTGGCTCCCATCACAGGTTTCTCTGGTCACATTCATTGGTTGTTGATGACGCCATCTCTATCATTTGTGTCACTCAGGATATCTTCTTATAGGTGAGGAACCCCAGAACAGTGCTCAACAATCTCTATGAAGTTTCAGAAATTATGGAAAACAAATTGAATAACCTATTTTACTGTAAAACCTTTACATTAAAATTAAAACATTAGGCCGTTCATCGATTCTAAAATCTTGAAACATAGAAAGCCTCAGGTGAACAATAACACGTGACTGGTAAAGTATTTCAAAAATCAAGTTTAAATGGTGGCAGAGACAGCTCTTTAGTCTGTTGTCATTTTTATGGTCAAATTGTGCAAAAGAACCAGCTTTTATTTTTATTCCCAGGGACTGTCAGCACAACACAACGGTGAATGGGATGCAGCTGATGTAAAAAGTTGGGAGGAAAAAAATCTATATGAAATGTTATATTGGTGGTCAAAAAAAGGCAATAAATATATTTGTAAAGGAGTGGATACAACCACAAGAACACAAATTCCATGTATTATTTTAAAATCTCTTCACAAAGACTATTCAAAACAAAATCCTTCAACAGAATATTCCTGTGTGTGAACATGGCAGCTCTGAAGCTGCTACCGGAGTGAATTTCTTCTCCTCAAAACTCGAATCAAGGTCTGGACTGCGAGCATCTACTATTACAGTTGGATTTCTTATTAGACAGAAAATCTCACAGCAGCAGGGACCGTACAATGACAACGGGAGTTCACTGACTCGATAAAAGAGAGGAGAGAACGTAGAAATACAGCAGCTGGATCGCAGGGCTGCACTGCACATGAGGAGTCTCGTTTTTATTGGTTAGGAGGACGGTGAAAAAGAGTGGGGCTTCTGACTCTGCAGGCAAATGGCATCACAAATCCACAATGGGTGGGCTTAAAATGCATGAAAAACAGATGATTTAGGTAATGGGAGTGAAAACGATGTGCAAAAAGCAAGTAGGGAACGTGGGTGAGATGAAAATGGTTATAGAGATTAAAAGGATGACTAGAATAAAATGGATGGTAAAGGAGGATAACAAGGATGAAAAGGAAGAGAGCACCAAGGGAAAGTGTGATGAGTGGGACGATGAGGGGTTGTAAAAAGGTAAGAGGAAGATGACAGGGATGCAAAAGGCTCCTAAGTATCGATGTGAATAATGAGTGGAATAGAAGTGAGTCATAGGGCGGGAGGTGGAGGAAAAAGAGATGACGAGTGTTTGTAAAGAAGGATGAGTATGATTATAAAGATGGATAGGTGGAACAAAGGGGTCAAAATGAGAGAAAAAAGGATGAAAGGGATGAAGATGGAGTTTTAATCAAATGACAGAAGGTTGCTAGGAGTGTGAAGAAGTAGGGTTAAAAGGGGTCAAATAGAGAGATGAGGAGGATGAGTGGGTCGCAAGGGAGGATTAGGAAGATGGGTAGGATGGTACAAAATTATAAAAAGATGAGAAGGAGCAAAAATGAAAATGGGTCAAATGTAGGGATGTGGAGGATGGATGAAACTGAAAGGGATTTTTTTTTCTTTCATTCCAAGACAAACAAAAAAACAATAGCTAGGCCAAATGACATTTTACACAAATTGTTCAAAAAAGGAGAACGAATGAGGATTTGTTGCAAGAATGGAGAGAAACAAGATTTGCTGAGAGAGAAGGAAGATTTGTTAAAAAGAAGGACGGCGAGTAGTGGATTGAAGGAAAAAAAGACTTGTAACAACAATGACAAGGCTGCAGTAAAGAAAAAGAGTAGAGATAAGGTCAGGATGGAATGATGAAGGGAGGCAGGGATGTGCTGTCGAGAGCAGAAGATAAAGTGTTCTGTGTGCGAGCGCCAGCTACAAGTAGGCTTGCCAAGTGATTAGAGGCGGGGCTGAGGCGTGGCTTTGCTCCCAAACCTAAATGAGCAACATTAGCTAAATTTATCAAGGACATTTATTTGTTCTTATCCAGTGTATCAATGTGAATGAGACAGGTTTTTGGTGACAGAAGAGGTATTTAATAGGAAACAAACTTAAGTACCAAAACAACAACCAGATTTATGTGACAGCAACTAGAAAAAAAGTGTCCTAGTAGGACAAACAGTCATGTGAGGTGAGATCAACTGTCACAATGCTGCTCGTAGATGTGGTGACGTCCAGTGAAACGCTGTCTGTGCATCGATTGTCAACATGTTATTGCTTCAACAGAGGGTGGAATGGATTTAAGGAAATTCAATCTCCGAGATAAAAGAATTAATTAGCCTGATAGGAAAATAAAAAAGAGGTTTTAGAAACAGATTTCTATCACACATGAATCCCCTTTGTAAATGCTTTTGGGTCTTACATTGGTCAGATGAAAAGTTATTTTTAATCTACAATTTGACAGAGAATATTTTAAGTGACTTCAAAAACAGCTCACAAAATGACACGGCTAATCTCACAAGAAGATAAATTGTGTGTTATCTACATCGGTGGGTATCATTATCTGATCATGCTCATCTTTTTTTTCATCATTATAACCACATTAATAAAAAGTCTTCAATAATATAAATTAATATGTAAAGCAAAGAGCTTCATAAATACAAAACGTAAAAGATCGAAGCATCCAATAACCTTAAAACAGAAACCAAGACATTTGCAAGAAAAAAAAAAAAAAAAAAAGCCTTCACATGGAAAACAACACAAGATTGGAGCACTTCATTAATGTGAAGAAAAGGGTCAAATGTTAGACCGATTCTGTGTCTGAAAGTCTCAATAAATGGAATAAATGCATGAACACTGGCGAGCTGAAACCATGTCCAGATACACACGGCCTCGTTAACAACAAAACTTAGCTTACATTAGTATTATGTGTGTGATCATTACTGGATAACAGCGAATACAGAACCATTACAACAATTTTTCTATTTTACCCATGCTTGCTCAAACTCGTTTTCACAGTCCCGTGTCGAACGTTTAGGCCGCCGGAAACGCTCCTTCACTTCTGAGTTCGATGAGCAGAGCTTCTCTTTATGCTACCTTCTCTCTCTCTCCAGGACAATAATTTTGGTTTGGGGGCGGGAGGAAGGACATTATAAACACTCTGCTGATCTTTTATAATAAACATATATCATGGGATAAAAATGAGCACAAGGACAGCTCTCCCTGTAAATAAACTGTCCACTCAGTGCACGTGTCCTGCTCTCTGCAGTGTTCGGAACAACCCTGTTCCACATCAGGAGGTCCATATAAAGGCCAGGCAGCAGTCTGAGTAGTCAGCTCCACAACAAAATAAAACTGGCTAACAGTCACTGGTGAGTGGGACACTTTTTCCTCCCCTCATTTTCCCTCAAGGTCACAGGAAGAGAGCCAAAGTGAGCCAGTCGAGTCGTGGCTGTCTCTCCATCTCAGAATCTCAGCACCAAATCGAACACATACAGAGACAAAGGGAGAGCCATTGGCTGAAAGTTGGTTTCCTGTGGTTGCCAGGCCAGGTGGAGGGTTGTTCACCCTAAAGCAAGGAACTGGGGCTTTCTGGGGGCGCCGGGGGTGTGTGTGTGGGGCTGTGGCGCATGGGCAGAATGTCGTAGTGGCTAGGGATGTGGCTGCCACAGGAAAGATCATAAGGACCCTGGGAAAAACCTGTGGCCATTCCGTTGGGTCCCTGCAGGATACTCACGGTGGGCTCTGCAAACAGTTTGAGAGAAAAGGTAGGAAAAAAACAAAACAAAAGAGAGACGTACGTTAGTAAGGCCAAGGAGAAAGGTGAAACGCTGACGCGAGAAATTATGCTAATGCTAATTAACCAGCCAATCTCACAATCTGTTAAGTTATGCAATCTAATTTCCGATCTAAACCACAGTCGGGTCCAGCAGATGGCCGCTCACACGGAGCCAGCTGCCTCTGCTGGAGGTTTCTTCCTATTAAAAAAACAGGCAGTTTTCCTTTACTTTCACCATATACTTTATTGATAACATGATTCAAACAGCTCAGTTTCCATAGAGAGAAAACCTTTTCACAGACTGGCATATAACCTGAAGTTAACTGCACTGATATCTAATTGTAATTGAAATATGTGGATTAAACAGTCCAATATTTTACTGAATTAACCATCCATCTCTGTATATAAATTAGATCCGTTTGCTTTGTTTAGTGCCTTGAGTTGACATTTGTTGAGAATCAGTGCTACTGAAATAAACTGAAGTGAAATTAATTAACGTATCAACTTTCAATGAATTCTTCACCAGTCTAGGGAGCAATCTTCTTTATTTCCCAGATTAATATTGATTACAGACAATCAACAATTACTATGAACTGTAATATGAGTCATAAATATGATAGAAAAGCTAGTAATAAGGCTAATAATTGAATATACAAATTTCAAAACAAACAGAATTCTTCTCACAAATTTCTGCTAATTAGTGGTTAAGGGAACAAAAACAAATCACCAATTCTACTGTAAGGCAAGGGGAGAAATGAAATAAAAAAGGAACGTTGTAAATGGACTTAAAACAGTGAGGACTTTTGACGCCAACTTTTGGTGGCGCATACAAGCATTACAAGTAAACAGGGACATTATGGGAACATCGGTAAAGTGGATTTTTCTTGCTGTTAAAAACAGTTTTTATACGTTTATATGACCGACAAACTTACTAATATAAGGTAGACAGCAAATTTCAGCAATGACACTTTAAAATGACCAGAGCAGAGCAGTTAAAGTAAATAAATAAATAAAAAAAATCATATCTGATCTGATCATATCTGGCTCTCTGCAGATGAAAGCCGAAAGCTTCCATCGAAATCAACAGCAAACTCACCAACGTCATAGAGGTTCCTGCTCACGGTGCCCAGGAGAGTGGCGGTGCCTCCAAAGGGGACTTCACGGTGGGAGGGGGACTTCATCTCCACATAGCTGCTCTCTGTGTGCTTGCACGCCAGCCCGGGTGGGTCTCTGATAGTGGCGTATGGATTATCACTATTCAGCGAGCAGGAGCTGTTGTTGCACATGGAGCTCTTTATGTAATCTGCAGTTGCCACAAGACAAGGATTTATGCAGCATCATAAAAGATGAAGCGATTGTCACGGACTCATAATGGCGGTATTAATACATGAATTTAAGCCCATATTGGAGAATGGCGAAGAGAATGGCAATGAAGCTTGTTGCCATTCTGAAGCTGAATTTCTTTTGTCTGCGACAGGTGACTAATGGTGGTATATAGTAATAAGAGTACAAAGGCAAGAGAGTGGAAGGCTCATCTCATCTATAACGGTCTCATCAATCTGATAAGAGGCCTCATTAGAGACCGCAGCAGAGCCCTCTTCACACCCCTGGGTCTCTCACATTCACCATCGACTGCCCAGCGCTGAAGACAAAATGACGTATCAGGCAGCGAGCCATGGAAAGCAATTACTATTCGGATAAAAGCTCAGCCCACCATGATCCTGTCCAGACTGCAGAGACTTCTTGTATAAATCAGAAAAAATACAGATGTGACACTTTGCGGCTGTGAAATTAATATCAAAAGAGAAAAAAACAAACAAACAAAACAATCCAAATAGAAAACTTGCGCATCAGCTGTAAAGTGAAAAGATTCTTTTAGCCGTTCCACTTGGAGATAAACTTTAAAAACACCTGAAAACTGCGTTGTGAAGTTATCTGCTTACCTTTTCGCGATGCTTTTTGTGGCTGTGCCTCATTCTGTTTAACTTCTGAAAATGTGAAACAAGAAAGGCAAACATTTTATACAGAAACAGAGATTCAGTTTCAGCTTTCAGTTTGCTTATGATGGATCGGCTCTACCTGAAATAAGGTTTAGCTGTCATGCTTTAATTTTTCATGGTTTCCTTTATTTGTATCTTATTGCTACACACACAATTAATAATGATATTACAGAGGGTCAAAATGAGCTCATAAAAAAGTATCAGTCAGGAGAAGAGTACAAAAAGTTTTACATTTGTATTTATAAAAATAAAGACTCCCCAACGACTGAATAGTGACTGTTTTGTCAAGAAGAGTGAAATTTTGAGCATTTTCAGATACTGGTGCGTTTTAATCCAAAAAAATTCCAAGCTACTAAAAGTCCAATTTATTTTTTTAAAACTAAAGAGGGATTTTATTTTCCAAAATGCACATCAGAATTGCTTTCATAATATGAAAATCTAGTTTTAGAATGCCCTAGTGTCTGAGCCAAATGAACCAGTGAACATATATCATATATAATTTTTTTTACAACATCCAGTTCATCCCAAGTATAAAATACTATTTTGAATTAGTTTTTTTTTTGTGAGGCATTACAGGCACAATGTGATGATTGTTAGATCTCCAAGCTTCTGCTCTCAAACAGCATTTCTACTGACTTTATCCTCCTCACTGGACAATTTATTATATTATCACCTTCCTAAAATAATGGCCTGAGGCTTCTTAAATTACTTTTGGCAAAAAAAAAAAAAAAAAAAAAAAAAGAGAGTAACCAATTTTTTAGGGAGGAGTAAAATTAACTTTTTCTCTCAGAAAAATACTTCTCATCCT